TATTGTGTTACTATCATATCAAAAGTTAATAAAGCGTCACGTTGTAACCAAATCATGCCTAGTTATATATCTCCGGGTATATCTGACCTTAAAATTATACTGCAGAATCACCAAGGCGGTTACAGCTGAAATTTTAAGAGCCACCAAATATATAAGCTTATCGCAAAAATCACATATATCTTGGCAAGGCTCGAAGGATCAAATCATTTCTTTATTCTGTATCAGTAAGGTTTAAGGCCTCATTTACTAATGATTTCGCAACATCATGCACAACAAAGGGTACGTGTCAACCCTGCATACAGGGTCTAGTTATTTATTCATCCCATCTCGCAATTATATGAGACAGGATTATTCCAGCTGAATCAATTTAGTTTTGCCGCGAAGGATTGGTGCGGAAATTTAAACCTCCACAAAATAGAGATAATACTTTGACCAGGATAAGGAAATTTGCAAACACAATTTTGAATGTTCTTTTCACTGCTTTTCCAGTATCATAATAACGCAATAGCTTCTGTAGCATCATCGCATTAACAAAATGCTAAGAAAGGCAAAGTTAAAACGAGTGACGTCCTTGCACTCATGTGTTGTACGCAAAAACAGCTGACACACTTCTGGACAGCGGGCGCACTAAAGCGAGCCAACCCGCCTGACGTTTGATTATATGGGAAATTTTCAGCCCGGTCCGCCGGTATCCGGTTGTGGATTACCGAGATCTCGGCAAACTGGGCTGGCTCGCTTTCCATGTAATCGCTCAGCCGGAATCTTTTGTATTTGAATACAAACCGAGATCTCGGTAAACAGGGCCAGCCCGGTCAACCGGGACAGCCCGCCTCATATAATCAGGCCCTAAGGCAACGAAAATAAATACTTTAAAAAATAAAAGATGCCTATAAAATATTCAAAGTCGCCTTTTTGTTATTGATAAACAAGTTTCTTCTTGTTCTAATTTGAAAATCTTTAAAATCTTAAATCTTTGCCCAAACAAGACTGTCTAACGTTAGTTCGTAAGCATACTACTCGGAGCTCCGCACATGCGCGTACTTTCTGATCCCCAGACTGATGCATTCCAATGAGATCACAGATACCAAATATGTAAACGAATAGTTTTTTTATCATATAAAAGTGCTAGTAGCATCTATCATTTACTGACGATATTCGTACATCAATACGTTTGAGCTTCCGGTCATGTAATAACACAGACAACTCATTAGTTAATAATTAAATTCTTAACTTCCGGTGGTCCAAACGCGACATGACACATAGATAGATAGATTGATAAACTGAAAGGTAAATTCCAGGTCGACCTACCCTTCGGCTAGTCCGACTAATAAAACACTCCTTATTCGTATGTTGTTTTTCGTCCATGTTTCTGGTGTCTCAGGCAGTTTTTCAAACCACCAGCATTAATTTTTCCCAGAGAGGTCTTTAAATTCTGTCTTACTGGTTTGTCGGCATCTATWTAAATGATTTTCTAAATAATTATCGACTTCCGCAATTGCGTAAATTTCAGTCTCCACAAAGAATTTTAATCCTCGGTAGTTTCAGTCGTTCGTAATCTTGATATTTTCATCAATAGCATGATGCACGTATGAATTCATATAAGATGATGTAATCGATCTAAAGGATGTATTGTTAGTGTCATTGTATCATATCAACTGTTAATTGAAATGATCTGCTCATTGCGACATTACTTTTTTAGATAATGATACAAACCAAGGATGCTTACAAGGTAAACCTTCATTGATGTARGATCTTAAAGGATGGTTTTCTGAGTTACAGGACATTGAATGGGGACGCGGCCCTATTTTGTTAAGAAAGTCTTTTAATGGTTTTAGTGATTATAACCTACTATTCCAAAAATCTTGATGGCGTACACCATATTTTCATGTGTTCAGTATTTGTCTCTTAGCTTTGACAACCCGGAACTAATGTGCGGTATTTCCCAGATTTCGGGGAAGTTTGATTGAATTGACTTTAATGTATCAAAAAACTTTACAGATTTTGCATAAAATGATTCTTACTAATATATCAAAATCTTCTTGTTTTAGACTGTCCAGCTGATTGTCAATGTCGAAAGCTGTCTGATGGAAAGATAGTTGTCTCGTCACGAAGTATCAGTGCAGTTCCTCTTCAACTTCCTCGTGAAACAACAGTCATGTAAATGAACCTCTCAATTTTATGCTGAAACTTTCATTTTTTAACAACTAATGTTTAACAATT